TTTTTTCTTTTTTCCTTCTCACGGCCCATTCTGACACCCTGGAGATACCTATTGACTTAGCTGGAAGCTTCGATTCTTTTCTAATAAACTTTACTTACTATCCTCCATCCATATTTCTAATTCTTTATGACCATCACACAAAAACCTGCCAAGGTATTGGGTTTGAACACCTAGCACTTTATATCACAGATTCTATTCTGTATCTCATTAAGTTTACCCATGTGTAATACGATAGTATTTCCAGTACTAGTGAAATGCCCCCAGTTTCCCAGAGAAATAACTATGGAGTCTTTGCAGGCAGAGTGTTCCTATGGCAGCTGTGTTTGTGGGGTGTCTTAAAGTGAGTAAAGCCTCTGGTCCCCTCCAGCATTTCTTTGGCCTGCCTAGCAGTCCTGGGTAAGTGATTGTTTTTTTCTTTTTAATTTTTTTGTTTGTTTTCTCTGGAGCATGAGTGCTTGCCTGAGAGATACAGAGATGGGCATGGTAGATGGGGAGGAAAGAGAAATCACCTTCCAGGTGGATGGCCATGCCAAAATCACTTCTCCATTTTCTTCTTGGAATTTTGGGTACATATGAACATGCTCCAGATATACTTGTCAAACCATTGGGTCTGGGAATCAAACTACAAAGTTGCATGTAGATCCAACTGCCTTTCCACAGTGCCACTGACTGGCTTACTCCTGGGTAAATGTTGTTTGCTCTGGAGCATGAGTGCTTGCCTGAGAGATACAGAGACGGGTAGGGTAGATGGGGAGGAAAGAGAAATAACCTTCCAGGTGGATGGTCATGCCAAAATCAGTTCTCCATTTTCTTCTTGGAATTTTGGGTACATAATGAACATGCTCCAGATATACTTTTCAAACCCTTGGGTCTGGGAATCAAACTACAAAGTTGCATGTAGATCCAACTGTCTTTCCACAGTGCCACTGACTGGCCCACTCCTGGGTAAACTTAAAGAATTTTAGGGGCCATCAGGTGGTGTAGTGGTTAAGATTTTAGACTCCCACTTGGTTGAAGGAAGGGGCAGCTTTTTCTTCAGTCCAAGACCTTGCAGTTTGAAAATTACACTAGATGCATGTGACTTTGTACCCAAAATTTCAGGAGAAGAATGGAAGAGAGGGGATTGTGTTGTGGCCATAATCCCTGGGTTGTGATTTCTCACTACCCCTCCCTCTTTCTGTCACTCTCCAGTCAGCATATTCACCCTATGGTAAAAACCTAAGGAAAAACAAAACAATTTTATACACGTTCCAATTCAGAATCCAGTGACACTGATTTCTATTAGGGAGCTTAGAGTACTGGTGAATGGTACCATTTTATTTGTAATAAAGTAAGTATTACAAAGTTAGAAGGTTATACTGTACAGATAGGAATCTCACCTGAAACAACACCCCTATGGGCTGAACACTGTACTAGTACTTCAGAGCAGTGGCAGAAGAGCCTGGGAAAGGGAAAAATTTCAGTTTACCTAAAGTAATTATTGCTCTTACTTCCTAGAGTGAACAAAATAACCCTACCTTCTCCTGAAACACTGGATGGCATTTAAAGGTTTGGACCATCTTTCAAAAGGGATAGGTATTTTTGCTGAGATGGGTAGGCAAAGCCCAAAAGATGTTACTTATTGGAGAAAGCTTAAAGTGTGGTCTGGCTTGGAGTTATAACCTGTTATCCTGAGAGTGTCTGTCTACAAGTGCTCTGTAAACATTCTCCATTCTTTTAATCTATTGTTGTTTCCTGTGTCTGAGCTCACTTAAACCTGATCTGACATTAAATTTGGCAACTAGAGAAAAGGTGATGTGCCCTCTATCTTTTTTTTTTTTTCTTTTGAGAGGTTTTTTTGCTATAGGGTGCGTGCGCTCACCAGACAGACAGACAGAGACAGAGACAGAAAGCGAGAAATCACCCCCCTAGGGGGGATGGCCATGCTGCAATCTCTCCTCCTCCCTTCTCCTCTCAGGATCTTGGGCAGGCACACACATGCACACGGTGTGAGTTTAAGCCACCGGGTCCGGGATGCGAACCGCGGACGACTACATGGGAGTCCAGCGACATAGCCATTATGCTAACTGCTGGTCCCTAGTTGTAAATTTTTGAGACATCTTCATAACTATTTTCCACAGGGACTGTATTAATTCACATTCCCACCAACAGTGCAGGAGGGCTCCCTTAATTATATTTCCAAAAATTGCACAAAAGTAGATTCATCAGTCAACGCACATGCACACTTCATTCACATCTTTAACAACACAAGGTGTTCAAAGGCTACAGAACTGAGTAAGAACGCTAGCTTCAATGGCAGGTGCTAAGCACTAGAGTCACATAAGTTACACCAGAATGGGCAAATATTGCTCAAGTAAAAAACTGCTGTTAAAGCTGGAACAGGTTTAAGGCTATTCAAATTCAAGCACAGAAATACAGATCTTTCAGAGAGCCATCTCTTTGTTGTTTGAAGCATGTGACCTTCCTTCCAACTTGTGCTCTTAAACATGTGTTTTATAAAATTCCAAAGGAAAATATAGAAGAAATCTATGCAACAGAGGTTATGTTAAATAAAGAGTAACGTACAAAGCTGTAATTTAGATGAAGTAAATAAAGCCAAAACATTACATTTGTAAAACTTACTTGTTGGAACCAGTCCTACACAAGGCGTTAGGTAATATATACAATTATTTTCAAGTAGATTACTTCTGTTGCTCTAACATGTTCTTTTCATCAGTGCACTGTTAAGCTAATCAAAACTCCACACGTATATTCCCTTACAATAGCAACATACTACCGCTATGTGCAAAGCTGTCAGTTTCAAATAACTTAGTGAATGAAAGGAAATAAAAAGTGAGTTAGGTAACATTAAGAGGAAAGAATGGGAATTAGAAGATTCATGAAGTTCAGCTCTTTTAATCAGCCAGCCACATTGCTAGCAACAAGGGATGGTTTCCATTGAGGAAGGTCCTATGGAGTCCTAATGTGGTCACCAGTGATCTCTGTCTTATCCTGGGCAGCAGCAAGAAGTTGCTTTTTCTTCATTTTTGTTTTGGTCATGTTGTAATCCCCAGAATCAAAATATTTTTGCCCTTTTT